TTGCTGCATATGTGGAGTTGATGCTAGCTGGTGCGTTGACGTACTCCCTTGACCAGCTTGATTTTGAGTGCATTTGTGCATTTGCTTTTCACTGTGCTGTTGCATTTGCAGTGGTGGTTCAGGGATGACGACAATGTAGTTCTGATGCAGTGCGGCTGCTTGTAGTAAAACTAAAAATTTGCAAAAGCAGCCGAAGGCCTCTGACTGAATGTGCTGGGTATGGGGTTCACGGAAAGGTCAATGTACCAGAGAAATATACGGAAATTGTTCAGAACCTGATTAGAAACAAAACGCGCTGCAGATGTCAGTCACATATTTTGATGGACTTTGAACAAGAAAATCTCCATATTTCTTTAATACATACATGTACACGTACATGTATAATGAAACAGGCTGTGTTGAGACTGGTATGGGGCGCCAGTTGGGGTACCCTAGTACGATCCTATATACATGTAGTACATGTATAATAAAACAGGCTGTGTTGAGACTGGTATGGGGCGCCAGTTGGGGTACCCTAGTAGGATCCTGTATACATGTACATGTACCTATTATTTTAATGCTCAGTTTTCCCTATGGATCACAATAAAACAAAGGCCTGAATTCAAGGAAAGTGTTCGTGTATTGCATTTTCTTATTAATTGTGGTGAAATGAGCAACATCAGTTTTTTCTTTCAGTGATAGAGTTGGCATGAACTTGATGAAGGATGATGATGATGAATTATGAAAGTGCCTTTCTAATCCTAAAGAGTGAGAGAATTGTATGTGTTTTGAACAAAATGCATTTGTTATTTGATACTATTGCAATTCTTCTCTTCTTCTCTGAGAACATGAAGAATTTTCAATTTAATCTCAAAAATGCAATACTGAGAATATTGCTCTCATTTTTGTCTGTAAAAAATTCAACAATAATGATTCCAATTTTACCAAAATAGTTTCAATGCTGTTATAAGGTACTTCCATTTGTATGAAGCCTGGGAAGAGACGGGGAGGGGGTTCTTTTGATTTACATAATTGTTCCTACGAATTAGTAATTCGTTCCAACGAACTGTTAATTCGTTCCCACGAATTATTGTTCTTAACAATGCGAGCAAACGAATTAGTAATTCGTGCGTACGAATTAGTAATTCGTGTGTTCGAAATAACAATTCGTGCAAACGATTTTTTAATTCGCTCAAACGAAATAATATTTTGTGTGAACGATTTTTGTTTAATCGAAAAAAAAATTCCCCGTCCCTTGGTTTTCGATCTTACCTCACATTTGTTAAATTGCCCGGGATTTTGAACACTTCGTGAGTTACTGTTTTGCTGTTGTACCGACAGCCAGCCATAGTATTAGTAGCCACTTGTAGGAAAAACATGACTGTGACTTCAAAGGAAGAGACCTTGTAGTGTCTCAATGCCTACCTAGTTTTACTGGGTGAAGTCGATACAAATTTGGTCAATCAGCTATCATGACTCTCTATTGCAAATACTGAGATGTTCGAATCAAACGCAGCTTTAGACCGATCCACGACAAAGTTTTTCAATTATAGCCTTTCAATTTCATATACATATACATGTATATGACCATGCAGTCAGTTTGTATATGGAGCTATTTTACTTCTCCATGGTTCGTCAAACGCATGGCATAATGGCGTATCGACGGCGTGCAGGTGAACGGCTGTTAAAACGTGTTCATCCTTTCAAGACTTCTGCAACAGCTACGCGATTTACAAAAATAATATTACGGCCCACTGCATACAGTGTGTATGTCACGGACGTGTATAAAAAACA